AGTGTCGCTAAGGGACCATCAAAGATAAGTCATAAAAGTGACAAAAGATTTTATGTTTACAAAGTTATTTGAAAACATTTCTCAGTTTGTTATGCCTTGCCTGAATTGGACCTCTCCAGGCATCAAAGTAATATTTCATAATTAAATTAGTTTAACTGCCCTTGGATTCCGTGCTAGGCGCGATTTCACTTAATAATTTAGTAGCTATACAAAGTTCTTCAAGGTAGTGATCTCCACTTGAATCAGAGTTGAGCTGGAGCATTTAAAAGAAGGGATATATGCGTGCGCAAGCTACAGAACAGCTTACGATCCTGCCTGATTCAGAATGGAGGTATGATTTAAGCAATTTATCACAAATTATGGTCCATGAAACTGCCTTTTATGACATAACGCTTCTTCCAATATTGAGACGATGTGTGGAAAAACAAACTTTATTTGAAAGGTACCCTGCAGCGGAGAAAGTTGTCAGAACACAAATTAATGCTCGATGCAAAAGCAAGCTTAAAATCTCGCGAATAGAAACAAGTATCTTTCACTGTTACGATACCTGTAGCTACGTTTAATGATATCAATCCTACAAAAACGTAGAGAACACCTTGGTCTCACTCGAAAATACTTAAAGTGAACGAGATAAAGGAACATCTTTTAGTTTGAATGCCAGAATTGTAAGCTGTCTAAACTAGCTTTCTCACTTTTTTTTTTCTTAAAGCCTACATCAATTATGTTTCTGCTTGTCTCAACATCATTTATAACTCAAGACTTTACAAGACCACTCACACAAATTGTTTTAAAAATTTTTTAACATTTCTAATCATTTTTTCGACTCTTGACGCGCCAATGTTTAATTTAAAAACACGTGCACGGGAAAGAAAATCTGCGAAAAAGAAGGCAATTTAAAACAAACTATCTATGAATTCATAAATTCAAATTACAAGGGTGCATCGACTCTCGTCGTTACTTCTTTCTTTGACAGGTTATGGCGGGGATGTTTCTGTTCCTCTTGATCATTACAAAGGTACAAGCAGAGTTGTTTGGGTTTCACTTTCATATCAAAGATGGCACTTCGTTCTCGAAGGAAAACACCCTTTGGACCGGAAAGACAGGCTCTATAATGTCTTGTTCCCACTTGTGTGCGAGGCGCGAAGGTTGTAAAATTGCCATGTTTTGGGTAAATCAAAGAACTTGTTCGCTACTTGATACAGCACAAAGAGAAGAATGCCAGAAACGACCCCAGCAAGATGACGTGTTCTACCTTGAAAAGGTTTGATAACATGAAATTTATTTCTTTACAACGCCTTGACTTTTTTAAAATAATTTTGTGAAACTGCAAAATGCTAAGTGCTCTAGAGATAAGAAGATTTTCATGGTAACCACTAGAACCATAAAGCGAGTTGACACCTCGTTTCGAAGGCGTGAAAAGTTTTTTGCTGTTGTCTCTTTTTCCATAGATTTTTGTTAACTTTCTTTATTTGTTGTCGGTGTTGTTCTCTTCCATTCATTTTGTTTGTTACCTCGTGCTTCCTTGACAGTTCATTGATTCAATTCTAACAGATCAATTTGCCTCAAGTTTCTAACTCACTAGGTAAGTAGAGCAGTCTCCATCTCAAATAGAGAGCCTAAAATTTCACAATTTCTCAATCTACAAGAACAACAAAGTTGCAGAACTAAGGCTAATGGACTCACTGCTTCGGACCCGATTTTTTAAAAGATGGCACGAAAACTCCCATAGGAAGGGATGGTAATAGGATGTAGATACCAATCAATCATAAGTTACTCTCCAGTATTTCTTACGGCTGCATGTGAGACGACATTTCGCTGGCAACCTGTGTGGGTTCTTACTTTACAACTATAAACATCGGAAAAACAAAGAGTGGGTGTCTGGTAGAACGATGTGAAATGAACAAAGAAACAATGAAATAAAGAATTACTCAAAGGCAACAGAAGAAGACACCACTAAATTTTTCTCCAGTCTTGGGGTAAAACTGTTCTCTTTTCCCAGACACGAACAGTCTTCCCTCGAGAAATATCGCTCTACGAATATTATTTCCAACTTTTCTCGAAGTCGTTTTCATCCTGACTCGCTTCCATTCCTCATAAAGCGCAACATAAATACTGCTTACACTAAAAATCGCATCGAGGTGTGGACCTCCCGGAAACAGCGTTCCATTCGAGGAGCTAATAATTAATGACTTGGTGGTCTCTCTACTTTATCCCTCAAAAACAAAAAAAACATAACAATAACACTAACAATAGAAATAATTTATCTGTGCTTCCAGGTACTACTCAATCGTCAGCGGTTCCCTCGTGCCAGTCCCTCATCAGTCACCCTCCCTCGGATGTTTATTGGATTGATCCTGTTGGTGGGCTCCAAGCCAACGCTTTCAAAGCTTACTGTGACATGGAAACTGATGGAGGAGGCTGGACGCTAGTGTGGAGTTATTCTTTCACCAATTACAGCTTTTTCAGAGAAAGTTTCAACGCAGTGACACCCAGACCCAACTGGAATGTAAAAGCTGAAGCAGATGTTCCCATCTCTTCTGATGCACCGGTATCGCAGAGGTCATGGGTTCAAATCCCGTACAGGCCTGAATCTTTTTCAGGCCTTATTTTCACCACTGCCTAAGTAGTGCACATCACTGCGAGGATCACTTTTATTCTGCTTTATTTGTGATGAAAACGCCCCTGCAATAATCATCTCACACAAGGAGATTATAGCGTGATATAACGCAATCCTCGACCAATCAGGGCGCGCGAATCTCTGTAATCACTTGAGAAATTACACTAAAACACGATATTCTCCAGACTGTTAAAGGAGTAACAGGCGATCAAATGTGGTCTAATCCTCTGAGTGAGGGAATTGCTGGAAAGGACTGGTGACCAACGTTTAGACAACCATCAGTATGCATATTTTTCATACTGTTCTTCATGTATTTCCTATGGATCTGACGAGGAAAATTTGTTGACCAGTCAAGAGCATCTTCAGTTGAGGATCGTTTCCTTTATTCGGATATTGTGGGGGTGATATATTAGGGGTTATAATGTAGGGAGAAATTGGAAGCCAGCCTCTCTTGGGGGTTAAGGAGTCACATAGTAAAACAGTTGTAAAATAAAGAAAACAGATATTCAAAAGAAATGATCCTATTCATGGCTGTACATGTAAATCAACAATTGAGTTTTTGTGTTTTCTAACATTATCACCTATCTTCTCTAATTACCTAAAGTCCAGTCTGTCTAGCTACTAAGCACTTTTCTCTTCTTGGATGTGTTCATGTAGGGTCGTAGCCTCCACTCCACATCAGCTTCATTCTGATCAACTGTTCCAAGCTTGATTTCATAAACTGAAAGGGAAAAGGATAGAATTCTCAATCCTTTCCTAGCCTTAACTTTGTGGTAAATGCTTTAGACACTGAACACTTTCGCAAGGATTTTAATAACTTTTTTCATAAGCGGCTGTTGTTGGCGGCTGTGCAAGGAAAAGGGGCCGTTAGGCGAAATCAAAGCGCGAGAGCCTTCTCGCAACCAGCGAGTGTTTTCGAGGAGGCCTTTTCAAAGAAGTTACTTTACGTTTTCCCCTAACCTATTTGTTCATTTGCGAGGGCAAAATCTTGTTTTCGAAGGGCGCTCAAAGTGTTGTTATCCTTTTTCCCCGACGACCAAGACTCTTTCTGGTGACCATTTTATGATTCTAGGTCTCCCAATTATGACTTTGCAAAGAGCCGAGCTTGCTACCCTGCTTTTCCTTAGAGGATGGCACTGCATAAGTGACAAATTTTAACTCAGTTACAAAAATTACCTTTCATTTCAAATCGTGGCCCTACTTCTGCTAATTCAACCTGTCCATCGACTTTCTTGTATGTGTGGTGCCTGGTAGAAAAGAAAATTGGTACAATGTTTCAAATAAATTAATATTACACACCTACTAAGCAATTTTATACTGACTGTCGAAAGTAACAAAGGATTACTTTGGTTTTTCTCGACTTCAATTTGGTCCCGAAACTTCGCACAATCCTGTCGATGCGACACGACCCAAAACTCTCGTTATTTCCCTCAGCTGCAACCATTAAAGCTGAGAATTCTCCAATCTCCAGGGATTAGGAAGGTTTAACAGGCAAATGAGCCTATGGTCCCTATCATTGGAAAGTTATGGGCCATTTATAAAACGTTTTGGCCATTAGGGTAAATAAATGGGCCAGTAAAAATTTTAACAAAGGTTTATTGCTTGTGTATTACAGTCTATACCTATACAGAGACATGGTTTTAGGCATGAAAAACCGTTGCCATGAATAACCATCCGCTATATTAACTTCAAGTGATCTTCAAGGTTTTTGAAATGTCGTGTGACCACCAGAACAAAAAGGAGATGATAAATTTCTATCAACCATTCGGCAGTTCAGTAATTGACAGTGGTCTTCTATAAAAGCTGCACTAACCTGACACTAACCAAATGAAACATAATTGTTTCTGACATCAGTTATGTTTTTTAATTACTTTGTTTTTGACAACAAAAAATTATTTGTTTTGACCATTATTGTTATAACCATATTTTAAGGTCAGAATAAGTTCAATAACAGTAAATGTTTGTTCGTTTTGCCAATAACAAATAGGTTACAGATTTTAAACCATTAAGTTTAGGTTAAACCAACCATTTCAATCAGCTATAGCCTTTTGAAAAGGTTATTATAACTGGTCAGTTTTTACAGTGTTTCTCTATTTTGTGCCTGTGTTACTCATTTTAATTTTAGCGAGCGTGATCAAACGAGCGAAGGCACCGTAGTTTTTCGCTTGTTTATGTCTCACCAAAGTGAAACTTTTACAAATTAAAATCCTTTTCACAAAGTAGTTTATATTTCACTAGCTTTGTGCGGTCAGGGCGCATCACAGGCCCGGTAAGTATTTTTATAATGGGCCATTTCGTAGCTTTATGCGCCATACGCGCATGGCGCACGGCCTTCCTAATCCCTGAATCTCTGAACTAAATTCACAATTTTCAGGGTATTTTAAGACTAATGAATGTCAGGGATCGCTTTGTTTCTAATTTACTTCGCAATGGTCCTGAAAACTTACGCCACTTTTTCAATCAATCAGATTCAAAGCAAAAGATAATCGCGACTTGGTCACCCGCGTTTCCTCGCGCTTCAAACAGTTTCCTTGATGCCACTTTGAATTCTTATTCGTTCCTTGTGGAACTGTACTTTGTTCTTGAGCGCTTTTCTATTGAGTGTCGTACATCCAAAACCAACGGAATCATAACGGCCAACCAGAAGAAAGAAGAATAATTTTAAGAGCCAATGAGAACTCAACGTAAAAAGAACCAAACTGCCTAAGGCGCGGGAAGACGCGGGTGACCAAGTCGTGATTGGTTTCAGTTTTGCATCTGATTGGCCAAAAATGTGGCACGAGTTTTCCGCACCAAGCACAGAGCAGAGTAAAGCTATACCAATGCAATGCCGGATTACTTTCGACGCTCTTTTGTTAAATTGCTCTTCATCTACAATTCGAAGTGCTGAACATCTATACAATCTCTAACCTGAATGAGATATAGTCTTCCTGGTTTGCAAATGTGATCACTCTTTTGCTCTCGTCTTTAGGAACTGGATATAAATACTTTAGAATACTTTTGACCTATTAAAAGAAAAAAAAGAGCATAATAAAAATGCCACAGCCTTTCATAATACTTATCTCTTGGTGTATTTATGCACTACGCGTGCCACATTGCAGGAGCATAACACATGCAGGTACATATCAACTTCAAAGAGATTGGCATGAAATGAAAACAACTGTCTCTGTACCATATACATATCAAGGAGTTTAAAAAAACCACGACGGCGACGGCAACGGCAACGTCACAAAAAAAAGGGTCTAATAAGCAGAACAATGGCTTTGCGTCCCCTGCAAAACAACAACGTGAAATGACCAAACTTTGC